TGAGAAGATTCAGGTACACCCTGCTTTTCTCTCCTTCCCTGAAAGTGTAAATCTGGCCAGATCAATATGTGGATTAATGTACAAATAATGTTAGTGAAAATTCAAATTTCATACTCGTTTGGACTGTTGCTTTTCTGAATTTTGGCTTTGCTGTTGCTGCTCAGCCTCTCTATCTCTTGAACAAGTTGCAGCATTGTGGCCAGTCTCTCCACATTTTCTACAGTGCATCACAACTATCTTGCGCAGCTTGATACCATTTCCCTTTTCCTCTGTTATATCCCTTCTTCTAGCCTTTTTTGGCCTTCCATGTTGTACACAAGCGACTGGAGGATCCATTTCCAAATGCTCAGAATTAGGCCAAAGTGAGACCCCACTAATTGGCTCCAAGACATTCTCATAAATTTTAGCAAACAACTCTCTTGAGTAGCATAGGGCTGTGAACTGCATTGGATTTCTATCAGACACCAGTATTGCAGAAATGGCATGAATACACGGAATCCCACTTATCTCCCAAAGTTGGCACGTGCATGTGTTTTTTCTGAAATCTATTGCATATTGAGCTGCCCGAGGACCTTTCACTTGGTAGCCATACAAACCATTCCAGATTGGCTCCCAAAGGCAGGCCTGCTTAATTCTATCCTCAATCAATTCCTTGATTAGGGGCCCTACTGGTTCAGTCTATTTAGATATCACTTCTCTTCTTTGTTGGATCCTCTGCATCACCTTCTCTCTTATTTGTTCAAGCATTGATATTATTGGTTTGTCTCTGGCTTCAAGAATGAACGCATTGAAGGTTTCACAAATATTGTTTACCAGCATATCACATTTCGTATGGACTGGAAAAAATGCCTTACACCAGTGCCTGGCATGAGGTGCTTTTTCCACCCATTTAAAGGCCTCACAGTCAAAATCTTTCATGTCTTCCATGGCCTTGTTGAACTCTTCCATACTTGTACTAGTGGCTATACCCCACATCTTGGACTTTAAAGCTTTGCCGGGATGTTTCTTTTTAAAATTTATGTACATATGTTGTACACAATATCTATGCTCACTCCCAGGAAGTATCTCAGACATAGCTCTGTCCAATCCCTTTACAAAGGTAAAAAAACATGAGTCAACACTCAAACTGATAAATATGAAGGATATCGTTTCTATTGGAACAATTGTTAACACTCAAACTATATTGATATTCTTACCTTTTGTTGATCAGAAATGAAGGTGTAATGATGTTGATTGTCAATATTCAAGTCATCAGCAAGGAGTTGAAGGAACCATTTCCATTGCTCTCCAGCTTCTTTTTCAACAACTGCCCATGCAATGGGCCACCATCCATTGTTAGGGTCAACACCCATAGCTGTTAGTAATTGACCACGATGAGTTCCTTTAATATGACAACCATCAAGACCTATTAGTGGCCTGCAACCACTAAAAAATCCCCTCTTAAGTGGCCCCAAACAGCAATAGAATCGCATGAATGTTGGATTACCACCAGGTTTTCTGAATGGAGTGAATACAATTTCAGTCGTTGTACCTGGATGAGTCTTTTTAAGCTCCTCAGAGTACCTACCCAAAAGTTTGTACTGCTCTTCAGCTGAACCCTTCACAGTTTGAGTAGCTAGTGCTCTTGCTTTATATGCCACTGCTCTAGTGATTTTGGACCTGTACTTTTCATCAACTGTTTGTATTAACTCTTTCACAGGCAGTTGTAGGTTGGATCTGTACCTCTCTTCATACCTATTTGCCAACCACTTTGAGGTAATAGCTCTATTCTTCCAAGCATGGCCACAGTTTTCATGCTTATCATAAATTGACTTCACCACTAAGTCATTTGTGCCTAGACAATTTACTGTTGAGGCAAAAACAAACCACCTACAGGGGTGCTTACATTTTGCTCTAACTCTTTTTCTCTCATTTTTGCAAGGCTTCACAGGTTTACCATTAACAATTGCATAGTTTTTAAGAGCTTCTTTGAACTCCCTGCTATCAGCAAATCTTTGCCCTTTAAAGAATTTTGGATTCTTCATGTCCCTCTCTGGGATAAAGTCAATGAATTTGGGGATATGTCCTCCCCTTTCCTCAGATGACTCTTCCCCACTATCTAGTTGATCATCTATTTTGTCCCCATCAAATGCAGCTCCAACATCTATAGATTTTGAACCAAAAGTTGCAGGCTGTCTTGCTTTATTTTTTTTGCCTTTCTTTTGTGATTGTTGGGTAGGAATGTTAGAAGTTCCAGTCACATCTTCATGCTCCTGCTGCTGCCTTCCCACAGATTGCTGGTCATTTTCTGTTTCATCTATACTGCCTGCATCCTCAAACATCAAGTCATCTCTGCAGAAATTATCATCAGCACTGAACTGCTCATTATCTGAGCTGCTGGTCGTGTCATCAGCAGCATCATTGTCTCTACCCTTACTAGTACCTACCCCTCCCACTGTTTTAGTTGTTGTCTTTTGTTTGCCACTTTCAATTTCAGCCTGTGAGGTTGGAATCTTTTCATTAAGAATATCTTTCTGCACCTGTTTTTCTGTTAAATTTTCACCTACACTTGCACCACTTTTTTTTTGATTTTGAGTTTCAGCATTCAAAGGCTTTTTGGTTAATACCATATCAGTACAAGGCTCCTCTATAACTCTGCCCTCATCATCTATTTCTTCTATCAAAACACCAGATTTTGGTGGTGCTGCATATGTCTCTACAGGCTCATTGAATTGCATTTTCAATACCTCTTCAATGGTCTTATGGTCATAGTAAACTTCCATCACCTTATATTCCCGTACCCAACTACAGAACTGGTTAACATGTTGATCAGTTTGCAATTGCCTCAGTCCATCAGGTAGAACACTTGTCGGCTCAAGGTAATAGTACAACACAGCTTCCTCTTCCCCATACCCCAGTTTTTTTAACATTTCATTAATCTCAAGCACTGACATTCTATCACCATCACACAAATCTATATGATCAACTTCACCACCAGTATAAAATCTGTAATCCGAACCATTAAACTTGCCCCCATAGTGCAATCTAATAGTAAAATATTCACTCCCATGTTCTGCACAATCATGTATCAAATTAAAGTCAAAATTCACTATATTCATAGAGTAGTAAAAAATAAACAGCAAAATTGCTAAATAAACAATTGCCCATGCAACATCAACTATTTTTTGTCAAACTCTATACCATAAATTTCATTAATTTACTATTTTTAGTAAACTAATAATGGACCACAGATATAGTAGGACCCCATGCAACCTACCAACAGGACAAAACTCTCAGACCCTGTTTCCACCCAATTAATTTAATTAAACTCCACTATATCTAAGCCCCTATCAACCAACATCTAATTCTTTAACAGCCCTTAAATTGTTCAATAATAACACAACAATTACACACACAAACCCCGACGATATAAGCTTACAAATCAAGAGGCACATTACCGTATACGAGATATGGGTCAAAATATGCATCCTTCCTTCTGATCATCCATTTCATTTCTCTGTCCATCTGTAGCTTTCAATGCAGAATTTCTCCCATGCAACCTTCAATAGCTGTAATTGAAAGATTATCTAGCCATTCAATAGCTGTAATTGTTATGGCCAAAACTCGATTTTTGAAAAGGATTTCCGTTGCTTCGATTTTGCCTTGCTTAAGAATTGAAGAGTTGCAACTTTCAATCTCTTTTTACGCTACTTAGTTGCTGGTCCCGAGGGTGCAAACATGAACGGACAAAAATGCCCTTTACTTCCGGTCAGATTTGTGGTTAAAGTCATCAGAAGTCCTCAAAGTATGCATTTTTAATTGTTTAAGGATCAATCGGAAACAAATTTTAGATGGGGGGCCAAAAGATGACAACGACAATAGTTTAAGGGCTCCTCAGGTTTTTTCCTCTTACATTTATATACTTGTCCTATTTAACCTTTGTCTACCTTCCTTTGTATATATTTATTTTTTAATTAATCTTACATTTTTCAAAATATAACACCTGATCGTCCATAACAGCAATATAGGATAATAATATATATATGTATATTAACTAAAATATATCTTATCGAGTGCCCTGATGGACAACCCATAAAGGAAAGCAAAGAGTAATATGTGTTTGACTGAATGGGAATCAAAACCAATTGTTGCATGATTATCACCTAAGCCCTATATTAGGTATATTTACACTCAAATTGCCCCTCATGTTTAAAGGCGGATACTATTTCAACTTTTTGGACTACATTATCAGATTGCTATTTATACTTGAGGAGACAATTTGAGATTAATTCTTACCTCAATTGGTAAATTTATCTTCAAGCCCTACCTTTATAGTTTTTTTCGTATTTTTTTCACACTCAAGTATGCAATTTTAATTTAGAACAATATTTCTCTTTTTCTTTAATACAAGGTCTAATATATCCTATATCAACAATATATATATCATAGTCGACATGAATTCATGACAATTTATCTATATTTGGATTTGAATTTTAGATTTTAAGCATGTCACTTGAGTTCACTTGCAATGTAAAAAAGAAAACTTTATAACAAGGTGACTCGATAAAAATTATTTCTTCCTTTAGTGTGGTCGTTTATTATTTATCAAAGCAGATTGACAAAGTGCATCAACATGACTCACTATTATTCAGAAAAAAAAATCTCGCTTTATTTGGTTGGAAAATTTTAAAATAGTTTCAAAGAAAATTATGGGCTAGTTTTTCAATAATATAAATTAAAAAAGTGATTAAAAATATTTTTAGGTTAAAAAATACCATGGGCCAAGCTAGGTGAATGTGGTACGATTTTTTTTCGTCGATACCATAAATTATATACTATACCTATTCCTACTCTGTACTAGGGAGGGATGAATCCAAATGGGTTAAAAAAGTGTGATTAAAAATTATTTTTAGGTTAAAAAATGCCACGGGCCTAGCTAGATGGATGTGGTATCATGTATCACAATTGTTGCCCAGTCTACATTTCTCAAGAGTGATGTCCAGTACTTATCTCTGGCCCACTTAACCCAACCCACATTCTTCCTCAGTTGACTCGGCATTCTCTTTCCCAATTCAGTGTTTCACACTTTTACTTGCTCAGGTACAGGAAGAACCGAATATACCCTCACAAATTCACTTCAACGTCACAGAGCTTGAGGGTTTACTCTCTGACCCAGAAAGCAAAAATGGTAAGTTTACATTTTGGATCTTTGAATTTATCTTAACATTTTCCTGAACAGTAACAATTACTATATCATTTGCCCTCTGATTTTTTCTTTTGAATTGTTGTACAAATTTATAAATTCCTGCTTCTGATTGTAAGTTCTTGATGTTTTAGGAAACGGGTATTCATTTTTAAGGCCCTTTGGTAGTCTCATTGATCAAAAGTTGATATTGGAGCTGTGTAAATAGACAGATTAACCCAAGAATGGTGGGGAATTCGATTATCCATGTTTCAGCTGCTAGCTCTGTCCTATTTCCTTCATATTTAATAAACCCCATTTCTCAAAAGGGCTCCCTGAACTTTGTTCCATGCCTAAGTATATCTAGAAGGCCTAAAAATGGAGTCTTTAGTGTAAAAGCTACATCATCTGCGAATACGGGTAGTGGCCAACAGCAACCTGCATCATCTTCTGAACCAAAGAATCCGTTAGCAGTTGTTTTGGACATTCCTAAGAACATTTGGAGGCAGACTCTGCGGCCATTGAGTGATTTTGGGTTTGGGAGGAGGAGCATTTGGGAAGGTGGGGTCGGGATGTTTTTGGTTTCAGGAGCAGTTTTGCTGGCGCTTACCTTGGCTTGGTTGAGAGGGTCTCAGTTGCGGTCGAAGTTCAGGAAGTACTTGGCTGTGTTCGAGTTTGAGCAAGCTTGTGGCATTTGCACTGGGACGCCGGTTAGAATTCGTGGGGTGAATGTTGGCAGTGTAATTCGGGTTAATCCTTCGTTGAAAAGTATTGAAGCTGTGGTTGAGGTGAAATGTCAGTGAATTTGTTGATTTTTAATATGTATATGTGAAATGTGGTTTAAAATTTGGTTGTTGAATTTTCTTGTGATTGTAGGTTGATGATGATAACGTAATAATCCCGCGTAATTCATTGGTTGAGGTGAATCAGTCTGGACTGCTCATGGAAACTTTGATTGATATAACGCCTCGAAATCCAATCCCAACTCCTTCTATAGGGCCTCTTGATCCACACTGTGTCAAGGAGGGCCTAATCGTGTGTGACCGGCAAAAGATAAAGGGATATCAAGGCGTCAGCTTGGATGCATTGGTTGGGATATTCACTCGCCTTGGGCGTGAAGCGGAAGGAATAGGTTTAGCAAATACATATTCACTAGCTGAGCGGTTTGCTGTTGTTATTGAAGAGGCACAACCGCTCCTTTCAAAGGTTCGAAATGCGTGCTTTTGTTACTTAATTGGGTTGGTTGATCTCTAATGGGTTGAGTTGTTATTTAGTCTGTCTATCTCCTTAGATGGAACATTTTATTCTCTATTTCGAGTTTTGTGTGAAAAAATTTTGCAGGTATCAACTTGAGGTTATCCAGAAAGGAAGCTATGACGTTTTAGTTTACCAAGACTGATATGACAAAATTGCATGAAAATTCCTTAGCATGTATAAATATGGATACAATTGAAGTGCATGACCTGTTGTCGACCCTTTAGAGAGTTATAAATCTCTACAACATTGTCTATAGAAGAACAGGTTCTTTTAAACTACTTCAAAACCAACTTAGTGATATAGGGTTCTATGATACTTTTGCATATAAATGGGAAGCCACAAAAAGCTCTGGTTAAAGTTGTTTGAAAAGTCATTTATGGGATAAATGTTATTGAAATCTTACATTTTACAACTAATGAAAGGGGTATATATTCTGCTGCTTAAACCAACTTTTCAATTTTCTAGGATTTGATTAGCAAAGCTTCTGTTTGCTGATAGCTTTAATATTCAGTGCAAAATGTATTGTGTTGTTTTTGGTGTATCTACTTATTTATGGCGTGCAATTCCTACCTGAATTTTACAGAATAATATGCTTTTCGACTTTTAGAATTCAGAATTCAGTACTGATATGTTTAAAATAAGATTTAAATGGGTTCAAATCAGGGCTAGGGCGTGGGAGGTCACAAGTGATTTTCAAACATGATTGTACTCCTGGGAAATGCATGGCGGGTATTAAGTCATATTGGAAAATATTAGCTGATGCCCCAGCAGTCTCATATGGCCACAAGAGATCAGTATATGTTTTTCATGCATACTGAACAGAAGAAATCCAAATATTCATTTTTCAGCGAAACAACATTAATTTATGTTATTTGATTCTCTTTTAATGTTGCAACTTGCAAGAATTAACTTCTTTCTTATTTATTTATTATAGTATGAGTTAGTTAACACATTAAAAATTGATACTTGAAAAGTCTCTTGGCAGAAAATGCATAAAGTGTGTTAATTTCGTCATGTAATTAGGTTAGAAAAGTGCTTTGAAGGCTTTGGCAGAGCTTACAAGAGTGCCAAAGATAGTTTTGAGAACAAATGGTCTAATCCTGTTCTGGATAATGAGTTCTCGTATTTGTATATAGAACCATCAGGGCTGAATAACTTGAAATGTGGAAATTTTGCTGCGATAACATCTCTTGCTGCTTTTTGAGAGGTGCAGATGTCAAGTTTTGCAATAACATCTCTTGAAATGTGGAAATGTGAACAGGAGAAATTCAGGGTTATGTTTCTGATACCCTTGGCATACTCTTTTTAAATGGAAAGGTCTGTTAAGTTGTTTAAGCGAGTATTCTTCAGAAAGTCAGTCATGGTCATTCTGACAACTTTAGGTTAGCGAGCTGAGTTAATTTCAGGAATTTGTAAATGCTGTCATGCATATGTTGTAAGTATCCAAATAACCTTGGTGTTCTGAGTTTGTACAGTAGATATTTCTGTGCTTGTGTTACTGGGTTGTCTAAGAAACCTCCTACTACTGGTGGTTGTTTTTGCTGTAATTAAAGCTGTCAGTTTTGCCCGTCTTCTTGCTGAAAAATGACGTTCCTTGTCTGTTGATTGACTTTGTATTTGGTAAATAGATTCCTAGTATGGCGGTTAAGCATTGGACATGGCTCAGGCATCATCCTTTGACTGATGCTATAATTGATCATAGATTACAATGTAGTGTTTGTAGAATGGCCTGTGATTTTGGCATGTGCTAGCAAGACTTCGTCTTATGTGAGGTGTGATTAAATTTAGTGTCTTTTCTGACAGTTAATCTACTGAATACTCATGCATACTGTTTCTTGTTTGTGATTTAGTGATGTTTCAGATCAAAGCTATGACTGAAGATGTTCAACCTTTGCTGGCAGAAGTTCGAGATAGTGGTTTGCTGAAGGAATTTGAGAGTTTAATGAAAAGCCTGACACAAGCCTCTGAGGACATGCGGTAAAAGTCCAACCTTAGTCATATTTGTGGTTTGAACTGGTCCTCTTTGTGTTTGTACGTGTGCATAAGGTGTTGGTTTCAATGGGTAACGTGGAAAAGCTTTCCATAAATGGACGCTTGTTTTCTGGGTGGATTGATTTTTTGGATCATACCCCAAGGCCTAAAAGATCTTTGCTTAGTGAGGTATTTATTGTTTCCTTGTTCAATTTTTTCGTGATTATCAGATGTTGCACAATCTTGGCTTTCTTTCGGAGCCACATGCGTGCTCTTCATATAAGTAGGTTTTAGAGCACCAAGATAAATGATTGGTCTCACTTCCTGCTCCTCTGTATTATCAAATTAGAAAGTTGAATGCTCTTCTTTCTTGCTGCAAGTTTCTTATCCTCTCTAGGTGTGCACTGCTACTGATTAGCTGACAATTATTAATATTGTTGATGTCACCAGCAAACATGCATCTGCATGGTATGTTGGTTGATGTTCCAACTTCTTTTAAGTTCAAATTCATGCAAGCTGCAGAAATGATGAAAAGAAATAAAATATTGACATCTGATGTGGCATTTACGACTACATAAAGGTTATTTTTGACCTGAACAGGATTGAAAGCACTTTAAGCAAAGTAATGGTGAATTTAGGGAGGGCTTATAATAATATTCCTTGAAAAGCACTTCTCCAAGTAAACATGGGTTCCCGAGAAAGTTTGAATTGTTTGTCTTACAATTGCTATTTATGAAGCTTCATTTTTTTTTCAACAATGCTTGAAAATCACTCATCTAAAGGGGGGGACCCACTAAACTCCACTGTCCAGGCAATTGCTGACTGGAAGGGAGCTCAGTGGACCTTTAAAGGGGGGATCCTCTCACACTCCTGAACCGATGTGGGAAAGGGGAAAGGGGAACACTCAGACTAACGCTAGCTATTGCCCTCTCCGTTTCTTGTTTTCTTTTCAACAATGCTTGAAAATCACTCATCTAAAGGGGGGGACCCACTAAACTCCACTGTCCAGGCAATTGCTGACTGGAAGGGAGCTCAGTAAACCTTTATGAAGCTTCATGATATGGTCTCATTTACATACTTCTCCTAGCAAGAGAGAGAGCGAGAAAGTATGAAGTAGAGTTTCAAAATATGACCTCACTTACATAATTTTCCACCTATTTATATATATTTGTTTTGCCTTGTGTTGTGCTGCAGCTAAGCTGATGTAGGAAAAGAAGCTTTTAAAGTTGGTCTGATTAACATTTATATGTATACACAAACACACATGTATAAACACATACTTGTGCAAGAGCTTTGCCTTTGTGTTGTGCTGCAGCTGAAATTAGGGAGGGAAAGAAGCCTTAAAAGTTGGTGTCGTTAACATTTATGTGCATATAAGTGTATACACGGAGACATTCTCACACACACATATGTATATGTATGAATATAGACACGCGCACACAAACATGAGAGGTTTGCCTTGTACTATGCTGCATCTGAAATTGCGAAGAGAAAGAAGCTTTCAAAGTTGGTGTGGTTAGAATTTATGTGTTTTCCATACGTGAACAGAACGGTACAAGCAACACATTGACAATTTTTTTTTTAAAAATTCTTCTACAATAGTTTGTTGCAATTCCAACTGCTTCAACTAAAGAAAAGAGAAGTGTGCCTTAGCATCAGTATTCAACTCTTCTGCTTGTGTGCATGCTTATTCCTGTAGTTGCCTTTGGCTATTGTACCATGCAGAATAGTTATTCTTGGAATTGAAAGAAAGAGACAGTTAGTTTTCCATTATGTAGTTGTTTCTCTTAATTTGTTGGTAACTGGGTGTCTCAGTTGATGATTGCTCTATCATTCACCTTGCTTTTAGTCTAAACTACCAGTTTGTGCATCCTAGCATAGTCTTCTCACATTGAGTTTAAATTGTGATTGTTACATAATCATCAAGCTTATACAAAAATAGATGTTTATTTATAGATTCATCTTTTTCCTGAAGTAAGTCAAAGTTATTTCAGGTGTCCATGCATATCCTCTTTTGTACAACAATTAGGCAGTTTGCTTTTGATATGTGGCAAATCTTAACTATCTCCAAGGGATATCTGAAAACAGGGTACCAAACAAGTTGAAAGCTTTTCAATGATTCAGGAGAGATGACTGTCGAAAGGAAAGATAACACAAAAATGCTAGAAAGTGCATGGTATTGTTCTGCTACTTCAAAATGAACTGTTTGTAAAATGTTTTCGAACAATTGAGATTTGAAAATTAATTAGTTACAAGAAGTGATAAAAGGAATATAAAAATAATATGCTCGATAAGGGAAGCAAATTGCTCTAAGTGGCCTATTAAAGTTAATGCAAAATGATTATGTTGAATCGGGGACTACTTTAAATACTTAAGTTGGAGGCTTCACCCATGAGTTAGGTGAGATATAAATTTAAGCTTATAAGCTACTACAGTTATTTTGTTCATCTCTGTGAAGCATTTTGCACATGACAAGTTATTTCCAAAATCTTTTTCTGCATCTTAATGTGCATCAACACCATGACTTTTTCGGAACAAAAATTATATATAGAGGAAGGTACTCCTCTTTTGAGCTTTGCATTCTTATTCATGTTAAGATTCTTTACGAAAATTTTGGAGCTGTTACCATAACTCATTCCAGGTCTTTCTTCACAAGTGAGGCTAATAGGTATCTTGGGCGTGTAATAATATCTATGATAGAATTTCTAGACATGTTGGCCTGAGGTATGAACATGTTCCAGAGTTGGTACTAAGGGTGTAACCATGTGATTAGCTAGCTCTACTCAAATCAACACATAACTTGGCTGATTTGCTTAAGAAATCAAGGGATGTGTTAAGAAATACATTATATATGGAGTTGAAACCTGTGTTTTTGGGCACCAATAATTACCTATTCAACCAACACAACTTTTAAGTTATTGAATATAAACTCCGAAGTTTGATGAGTGGCAAGACGTCACTGGTATTCATTTGTTTGAATAATAGACGTCCCATTTGAAAGGTCAGTTAGCAACTTACGCAATCTGTTACAGAGATACATCGGGCGAGCTTGATCTTCGGAGGGTGAACAAAAATGCCTTTAGTTGCACATATGTATTTTGTGCCTTTACCTACATGACAATACAAGGATGGTTCTCCATTTATCATTCATTTTCATGTCGATAATCTCAAACTGAACTAATGTAGAAACTTTGCTTCTTGTAAATCAATGCCTTATATAACCATTGTTACCAACTATAGGACTATAGGAGGGGCCTACATGTGTAGCAGTTGTGTATCATTCTTGGACTGTTCACTTGAGCAACTGATTTATGTCTAAATGTTCATATGTTACTATTTTATCATCTGTCAACTGTTGCAATGTAAATCGTTTGAAAGATTGTCATATTTTCTTGTTCTCTTTGTCATTGTATATGTACTGGTTTGGTATGGGCTCATTATTCTCTATTACATCTGTTTCTTTTCTTGTCCATTTTTTTATGTAAAAATGTTTTGGAACCAACTTTGCAGGAAGGTGCACTCATTGGTTATGACTCCTGAGAACACTGAGCTAATCCGGAAGTCCATATATAGCCTCATTTTCACCTTAAAGAATGTTGAAGTAAGTTCCTCTGATTTATGTTCAATTTATAAACAACTCTTTGAACGATCATTGTTTTGTTCACCATCATGATAATTTCTGCAGTCGTCTCTTATTACTCTACATAAATAAACTTTGCAGAACATAAGCTCTGATATCTTAGGGTTTACTGGTGATGAAGCTACAAGACGGAATCTTAAACTGCTTATTAAGTCTCTCAGCAGGCTGTTGTGAAGATGGAATGCGGAAGCTCGGTCGGGGTTTGTGGTTTACCCTAGAGCTGCAAATGCATTGAGTCCTGGATCTGACTGCTTGCTCAGTTAGGGGAGGTTAGATATAATCTTCTGGCTGGTTTTTTATTAATGGACTTTAATTGGTATCCTTAAGTAATGAGGGTAACTAACCTTTTTACAGTTTAGGAAAGCCAAAAAGTTTTGCACATTTTTTTTTTTCCTGGTTGAGCAATGTTGTGAAAGATCTCTTGTAAGTTGCAAGTACAATTGTGTATGAAGTAATTTCGTATAGTTTAAGTTTGATGTTTCCAGTTTACCTTACTGCTCCAAATGTTTAAGGACACCATTCTATATCCTTAGCCTAAAGTGCAAATTGTTTCAAGAAGAAAAAGTGTAGGCCTCTTAATAGTCTCAATAATACCATCAAACATAGCTGAAGATTGCAAGCAATAAGCAAGGATGTGAACAACCTAAGATGGGGAAAGATCTGAAGACCCTTTAACAAATGAGAAGAAACTAGAGAGAAGACTCCTCTTATGGAGAAAATTTTCATGAGAATCTATGCTAGTACTGTACCATATACACAAACCCATTGGAAAGATTATGAAGGGAAAAATTACAGCAAATAAGACCCAATTTTGAATAATTTTACACATAATTAGTATCACACTTCTATTCCTTTTTTTTTTTTAAAAAATAAAATTATAAGGAGTCCATAATAATAGAAGTCATTCAAACAAATTATAATTCTAATAAACCCACAAAATGGTGGAAATTACAACTTGATATCATGGCAAACTGATGACGCATTTTCTTCAATTAGTGCAGATTTTATGGATGAAATTATTATTTCTATTAAAAAAAATCACAAACTAATCCACATAAACATAAAGGTGGAGAAGAAGAATTAAACCCAGAATCTGGATCTCAATTTTGATCACTAAAGCAAAGTTTTTTTTGGCCCTGTACTGTTGTTAGTAGCTTTTTTTTGGTCTGTACTCTTGAAATGTAATTTGTGCAGTTTCATTTATAATCAAGACCATAATCTACCAGCAGCTACGCGCACAAATTCAACTCTTCCTTTGACATATTTACACCGCCCCAGCTGGCTACAGGACAATTATGTATAAAAAACTGATGCCACCGAAAGAGGTTGTTGAAATTAAGTCTGATTGATGCAACGAATTCTTTTGCCAAATGAAGTAGAAAAAAGGACAAATAAAAAACTCAAAGAATATTTCTTCTACTCTTCAAACCTTCCCCAGCTAAATTGAAGGGGTCATTGATTTGTGTCTGGTGGAAACAACAACGTTTATATGAATCATGTGAGGTGACCGGAGAGGCTTAAAGCTGTCATTGTGTGTAGGTCAAAGGGTTAAATCCATCTGCCTACATTTTTTTTCAGCCTTTTTTGTAAATTTTTAACTAATGGGAGTTGGCTTAATTGGTAAGAACAGATCACTTTTTTACAAAAAGATCATGTTTTCGAATCTCACTGTTGATGTGAAAGATGTATTGATGAGCGATTTATAAGAATCTCTGTAAGCGATCTATAGTTTCGAAAGTATGTCGTGACTCGTAGTGGTGACTGAAATCAAACTCACCCAAACTTTTAATTATCAGAAAAAGGAATGTATTGATGGGCGATTTATAAGAATCCTTGTAAACGATCTATAGTTTCGAAAGTACGGCCTAACTCATGGTGGTGACTAGAATCGAATCCACTTAAACTTTTAATTATTCGAAAAAAATCATACAACATTGACAAAGATGATGACGATGATGAAAATCACCTAAACATAAGGAGTATAGATCTAGTCTAGCCTAACCATCATATCATGCAGTAGTAATGGCGCTATTTATATTCCAAAAATTCAAGTCAAAATTGTTGATTCAAGTCAAATTTGTTCGGGAATCTATGAATTTTATTCTAATGAACATGTTCCCTATGACAGAGAAATCCATGATTAATCAGTCTATAATCAGATGTCTTGTATACAAATTAACAAGAGCAGGATTCTGTTGATACATGTGCAGGTTTTGAACCACACCATTTGGAAACTAGGGGCATTTGGGGGCAAAATAAACCAGAATTAGTTGCCGTTGAGTGAGGTATAAATATATTACTCCATCTGTTGTTGGTCAAACTTGAGGAGATTTTTTCCAGGGATTTTACTAAATTCATTTTCAGATTTGTTAGCCGAAGCACTCGTTCTTTGTTTCTCTTTTTTTTTTCCCATTTAATAATTAATACATGAGTTTATCTAAAGAGTTCAGTCGCAAAAAGTTATTAAAAAGTCACCACATTTCTAAACAATAGATACAAAACATAGAATACTTAAAGTCAAGAGATGTGCCATCTTTTAATTTATTTCTTTTCCTTGTCTAAATTCTCTTGTACATGCTATAATATCAACAAAAAAAAAAAAAACCAAATATTGTAATATGTTACCATATGAGTAAAGCATTTAATGAGTCGAATACTTGGTGTTCAGCCTCTATTCGTATATTATACGAACATGGTTCGAGTTCGATATGAATATTAATAAATTACAAATATTATTCGAATCCGATTCATTTATTTGTATAAATATACGAGTTTAAACTCGAGCTCGAATTTGACTTTGAAAATGATCTAATTATATTTTTAATAAATAATATATTATTTAGAATAAGTTTAATTGCATTTATTGATTTTTAAAAAATAAATAATGCTAATTTATGTATAATTACTTTTTTAGTAAAATACAATATATATTTATATTTATATATGTGTTCACCCGCTCAATTAGTAAATGAATCTAATATTGTGTTCGAACCCGAACGAATCGAACACTAACATATTCACAAACACCGCAATTCGTTAACAGCTCTACATATGAGTATTGGCAAAGTATTTGAAAATGATGGTCATTTATATGCTTTGGTCGTGTGAAATATAAATAGAAAAAAGGTTGACCTTATTGAAGTGACTACTTCAATTTACCGGCCGGTCACGTTCGCAAAATAGTTTGGTGGAATTCTATCACTATTAGTTCTTACCTTTTTTTTTCTTTTTTCTTTTTTGGTTCTTACTTCTTAATAGGTCTCTGTCTTCTCACGTCTATCTCCTCTCCGACTTTTGTACGCAGCATTGACTCGTCCATCAGCTCAACTGAATATAGGACTAATTTTTTGCCCTCAGTAATTGATTTCTGGGCAACCCTTTAAGCCTTTTGGCAATCAGCTTTTGGGTTTGAGGTAAGGTTCACATTTTCTTCTTATATTGCATTGCGATCTTTTTCAAGATTCTGCCCAATTTTATGTTTTTTTGCAATTCTGCAACATGGGTTCTTCCACTTCTGTTCCTTTGTGGGGAGCATTGTATGAAAAATTGTGTCTTGATGATGGGTTTTGGCTTAATTGACTTCTCTGTTCTTTGCTAGATTGATAATTCTGCCTTCTCTGTCCGAGAAAGGGAAGACTGTTGGATGCAGGTGTTTGTTAACATGGGCGATTTTTAGTGGTTTCGTGTTGCCTTAATTGAAATGTTGTCAGCGTTGTTGATTGTTGGTGCTTATATTCTACTGTACGGCACGTGTGCTTGCATCTATTTGTGCCTGTTCTTTTATGCATTGACCATAAATGGCTGAAATGATTTGGCCAAATTTTGATTTTTGACACTCAGGAAGCATGATTTTGTAGATGGGAATCTTTTAGGATCAACTTTTCTATAATGACAGTTATACAGATTCTTTGCACTAGCAGGCCTAGAAGTTCAACACATTAATGTAAGAAATTTAAAACTTGGGTAGATTATGTGTCATGAATTTAACCCGCTTTCTACTGAGTTTGTTACAACGATAGTGAGGAAAGATTGATCTTATTCTTTTTATGTGAGATCATCGTCGAAGGGAAGGCCCTAAACAAGGAAAGTTTTCTTTGAAGCATATTCAGGGATAGATGAAAAATTGTACTTAATGATCTTAATGGTCTTTAATCCTAAGTTGGTCCAACTTTCAGCTACTAAGTTGGTCCCAACTATCTTAATGATCTTTAATCCTCTCTTAGATTTATGGTTTTTATACCTACATTGATTTTAAACTTTGATCTCCAAGAACCCCCCCCCCCCTCTTTTCTTTTTGGGTTTATGTTATTGGTTTCTTGAAAAATTCCAGCTTTCACTAGCATGATTTTGTTTCCTGTTCAAATTTTTTCTCCAGGTGGTGCTCAGATATCTTGAGGACTTTCACATGCCAGACATTTGGAGTCAAGGTTAATGATTGTGTAAAGCACTGGTTTTACAAGGACAGCTGTTCAAGAACAATCAACTAAGTGACTTGAGCCTCCTGGATATGCGTGATCGTCATTCCTAGAACTGGGAAAAAATGGGATCCTCAAAGTTTCCTCTGCGCTATGGGATCATACTCTTGACCTTCGTCTGTACTTTTGTTTGCTATATTGAACGTGTGGGCTTCTCAATAGCATACACAATTGCAGCTGATGCTGCAGACATAAATCAGACAAGCAAAGGCATGATACTTTCAACATTCTATTACGGCTATGCCTGTTCACAAGTACCTGGAGGTTGGGCAGCTCAGAAAATTGGTGGTAGGCTTGTTCTCCTCTTCTCATTTGTCTTGTGGTCTCTAACCTGTGCTTTGGTGCCTCTTGATCCAAATCGAGTGACGGTGTTGGTGATAGCTCGCCTGCTTGTTGGTGTGGCCCAGGGATTCATCTTTCCTTCCATCCACACTGTCCTAGCCCAGTGGGTGCCGCCACATGAGAGATCACGGTCTGTTTCTCTTACAACATCTGGGATGTATTTTGGCGCTGCAGCTGGAATGCTAGTGCTTCCAAGCCTGGTGAAGTTCAAGGGTCCTCAATCTGTATTTGTTGCTGAAGCGGCTCTTGGTGCATCATGGTCTCTACTATGGCTCAAGTATGCCAGTGATCCACTACGTTCTGAGCATCCAAAAGCAACTGCTGCTGGTTTTGGTGAATCCCTGCTACCTATTAAAGGGGGTCAAAAGACAAAGGTAGAGAATGGAGGACATTCCATCAGAACACCCAAAATTCCATGGAAAAAAATTATCCTTAGCCTCCCAGTGTGGGCAATTGTCGTTAATAATTTCACTTTCCATTATGCTCTCTACGTGCTTATGAACTGGCTACCTACATACTTTGAATTAGGCCTTCAGCTCAGCCTTCAAGAAATGGGTTCTTCAAAGATGATGCCTTATTTTAACATGTTTTTATTCTCAAATATTGGTGGAGTGATTGCTGATCACTTGGTCACAAGGAGAATCTTGTCTATAACAAGAACAAGAAAGCTTTTGAATACTGTTGGATTTATTGTGGCTTCATTTGCATTAATAGTTCTTCCTTACTTCAGAACCTCTGGTGGAGTTGTGTTTTGTTCTTCTATTGCTCTTGGTTTCTTGGCGTTGGGAAGAGCTGGATTTGCAGTAAATCACATGGATATCGCTCCAAGATATGCTGGAATTGTGATGGGGGTGTCAAATACAGCTGGTACATTGGCTGGCATTGTTGGGGTGGATCTCACTGGTCGACTTCTGGAAGCTGCTAAAACTGCTCAGTTGGACTTGACTAGCCCGGATAGTTGGAAAGCAGTATTTTTGATACCTGGGATGCTGTGCATTTTTAGCTCTTTTATTTTTCTTCTATTTTCCACAGGGGAAAGAGTTTTTGACTGAAAAGATGGTTATTACTGCTTAGGATGTATGTATTCTTATTCAGGAGATGGTTCTCCACATACAACCCTATGCTGGCAGATTGATCTGATGCCTTTTTTCAGCCTTATCCTTCTCCATCATGAATGCATAGCAAAAGTATATCAAAAGGTTCAAGACTCACAGTTTGGCTTGCTACTTTTTGAAGTTATCATTGCAACTCCTGCAGATTGCACCGATTGTGGTGGAGTTTGCTCATTTAGACTTTGATACCATTTGTTGGATGTCCTTTTACTACTTGTAATTGTAGCTTCATGATAGCCTTCCAATTGGTTACTTGTTATTTTACCTTTTTTTTTTTTAATAACTTTGAGTTTAGGATTACAATTTTTTAGTTAGACATTGTCCAGCTATGGTTAATTACTGGACTGATTGATTGGCAATAGCATTAAGAAATTAGGATATTAGTTTAGCCTTCTGTATTTAGTCAAATGCCATGTAACCATTCAGAATGCACTACTGAGGGATGGTTCCAACATCTTTTTTTTATACATTTTTAAATTTTGGGAATATATTTATGAAGAGCAGTTCAATTTGTATCACCATTTAACTTATGAACAATTGGTACAAGCCCATCTATATTTGATAAGTTTGCCTTTGTTGCAACAGCAAATTCCGAGATTTTCCTATATATCCACAAAGGCGTTTTGACATATTGTTTATTTTGACAGACATATTTAGATGCAATTGCAGGTTTTTCACTAGAAGCTCTGCACATCCGCCCATATGCACATGGATATATTTTCTTACAACTGCTGTTTTAGTCAATCATGGAAGGTTTGACATTATATAAACACAAATGAGGTTGGAGTTGGATATAAATGTTCTGATTCTTTCTCCGTAGTTAGAGCAAATTACTCATGCTTATAAATTTTCCCATTGATGTATTTGGTAAATCCTTGACATGTAGATCTAAACTGAATGAAATTTGTAAACAGGCTTCGTTCTCCTGACTAGATGTTTGACACTTTGACTTTATTTCAATAGTTTTTAAAACACCTGCAGTTGTTTCTTGTACAGCATTCTGGGTTGGTATGCCAGCAGCTATTGATCTCAAGTAGTTGCTTGTTTTGTCAAATAAGACTGTTATATTTGTGCTTGCTTTGTGCTACAGATTGCCTTGGACTTAGGTTCACCACTAAACAAGAAGGCATCTCGTGTTCATCAACACAACCAGTGTATCAAAATTGTGGTTTGACCAAGATTAGCTTACCACATATTATCTTTCACTTACTATTATCTGGTTCTGGTCAATTTTATCTTGCATAATTCTTATATATTCTTTCTGCTGTTAGTTTTGTACGTCTGCGCGAACATTGGAGGAACTCATATATTCAAACTCTGATGATGTGTGCCAAAATTCTTGATCTTGCTTTTGTTTTAGGTTTATGAACTCTTTGACATGCTTTCTTGGGGTGCTGTGTATGGAAATTTGCAGAAGCAAATTCAGGAGAAAATAATGGTAAGAGGTGGAAAAGCACTTCTCTAGTCATCAGTAGTAAGTTATTAGGAAGTATACTTTTGGCTGTAATTTCCTTTTAGTCCTTTTCAAGGTATGACAATATAAAGTGAAACCCAATGTGTATGCTGCAATTTATTTCCTGGACAAGTTAGCTGTGATCAATAAGACATGAGGGCACTGACTGGAATACTATGGCATGCTAAAGATGTGTAATTTCCTATGATTTGTTAGTTCAAAAGCTGGTGCTCTTAAAAGTCTGAAGTCCATATAATTGCATCATAATGCAGCTACATTTCTGGTATTACTTTATACCCCTGAGATGTGACTGCCTTATCTTTGTTCTTGTCTCTTAAGATTGTTTCATCTCTTTATTCTAGTGCTCATATCTGTGTGGCACAGGCTCATTTATTTTGTTTCAAGTCATTCACCTGAATGGGTTTTACGGAGTCATGATTCAGAAAACATGGGCTATTAGTATCATGACGGCTGCAGTAAACATATTGCTAGGAATTTGATTCTTGGCAGTTTGGACTTAAGTCCAGGAAGTGAGACTTCTATCTAGAGAAGCTTGTACTTTGAAATTACAGGGCATCATGTTAGATTTTGTCTTATATTGTCAGATGATTTTTATTTTTATTTGCTGTATCAATTAGCAAGCAAGGTCCATCTTCCATTGTTATCTTTGTGCAATGGGCCTGCTCGTTTTCTTTTAGACATTGAAGGACGTATGTCTATATGCTCTTGTATTGCTGATACTGTGGAAATTTGTACATGGATTGTTAGCTTTTTCTGTTCCTTTTTTTTTCTTTTGCAGATTGACTTCATGAAAGTGTGAACTTATATCCCCTATTACGATGAATCATCTCTTTATCAGCTCCCTCTCAGAAAATGAATGCCCCCCCTCGTCTATTAACTTAACAACAGAACAAAGATAATGGGGAAATTCCAATTCTCGCTGGAAAGATTAGTCATCCAGTTTCATACATGCTATTAGTGTTCATTCTCTCTTTCCCTGCACAACTTTAAAAATGCTTTGGCATCTTGATCTTTTCATGAATTCCTTTTTTTTCATTTTCATTGCATTAGCATCTGATGGACTACTATCAGCTATTACTGCACTTGTTTCCTGTTTCCACCATGATTACTGCACATATTAATACCTCTTCATGGTCTGTATAGCCTTTGTGAATCTACTTGACTCATCGTCAACTGTTGGAATTTATGAAGGAGATGGACTTTTTGATACAAGCATTATGACAACGAGTACAAGAGAATGCTATCAAGTGATTATGAAGGTTTGTGGGACTTGGTAGTTAATTGGACTCCTAGATATGTGAACCTGATGCCTTAATTCTGGCCTGAATGGTATAAAGTCGTTTTCCTGTTCACAACTTCTCCTGTCATCAGATTGGGCTGTCGGCAAAAGTAGGAGCATTGGGAGCAGCAGAAAACGAGTGGAAGTGAAACTCACTACTATACTAACATACGAGGATTTGGGTTCAAATGATTTCTAGTCTAGATAATACATATAATCATTTATCAGAGTATGATAAAAATGCATTAGCATTCTGGTTATTGGCTTACATTTTCTTGTTCTCTTGAGCTTGGATAATCAAACTATTATTTACATTTGGGGTGTACATAACGTCAAAAATAAGAAGAGAAGTTGGTTGGTAGCTCAAATCAAGTCATCCAGAATTTCATGCATTTTGAACTGGAAATGAAGACTAGGTTAACCAACATGTTAACTAATCGATTGCGATAAACTGGATCGAATTTGGCTGTTTTTTTCCTTTCTTCTGCAGCACCTGGACTGTAAAAACCCTTTAGTGCTTCTATTCCATATTTATGAAATCCTGCATGACTTGTTTTTCCAATAAATTCTTAAAGACTTTCTTTGATCTTCACAACGTAATCAATTGATTCATAAAAGAACTAGTAGTAGCTGGATGACGGACACTCAAATCTTTTGTATCGATCCAGTTTATCGCAATTGATTAGTTAACATGTTGGTTAACCTAGTCTTCATTTCCATTCAAGTTGTATGATTTTGAGAATATGTACTGCTATACATAATTTTGCAAACACCTCGTAAAGGATACCAACTCAAAATTTAAAGCCAATAATGAATGAAAACAGACAAAAGGCAGTCCCAACAATGCCTTTTTCCTTTAATGGAATTTCTTTACATAGAAAAGAACAAGCATAAGGTATACAAAGTAAAGTACAAGATGAATCTAATATACGACTTACAATGACCTTTTAACACAATCCTTAGCCTTCTCCTGGCCAATTACCCATTTGGTAGCTTAGTTGGCACCGTTGGTTTCTGCATTTTCGGGATCATATGGACGGGTATAGAGTCAGAAACCTACATTGTAGTAGGCAATTACGTACAATAACATAGACTCAGGAAGGACACCATTTAATAGCATGTGGTATATCATACTGTACATGTCATCACGAGCAATATCCAACGAAATAGAAGAAAGTCTATTACAAATAAACAGGAGATCTTGGCTTCATGAACCAGAGAGACAGAAGAGTGCTACAAAAATGGGGAACACTAACTCACGCATATGCATATGACACAGCATTTAACCAGTACAATCTAAAGTCATGCAAAGATTGCTAAACATACGTGCACATTTTATAAAAATTTTGCAAACTTGTACAGCAAGGAGTTCTGGAATGGCTCATAGTGATGCCCTCACCTCCATCCCAGTGTTGGTAACTACAATTTTCTGGTAAGGCAGAAAACATTATGAAAGCGAGGCCAGATCATAAAGCTAGACAGGAAGAGCCTCAGGAAAAGTTCATGGCTGCTGCAACTTGCATATTGGCAAAAGAAAGAGAAGCAAGATAATTGAGAAAAACAAGAGATGTGATACTTTCGTCACAGATATACATCGTCAAGAGATCTAAGAAAGAAAATGCCAGACAGAGATGGAAGATAGCAAATGGATGAAGAATAGTTACCATAGCATGTGTTCATTCTCATCTGTGGTCCAAGCTACACAGCCATGCTTAACAATTGAAACTGAATATTGAAGAATGTTCTGTGGAATTTTGTTGAAGGTAGCTATATTCGGGAAGCCATACAGATGGAGAAACAAGCAAAATGTGTGACGTCAGGGACGAGGTCAGTATCAATTGGAAAGACTGGAGAAGTGGCGCAATTTTCCCCCAACTGTTCTGTCAATTTCCTCACACTTCTGTGGGGAATGTTTTGTGTGCATCTGCATGTGTCCGTGTTTATTCCTTGTGCAAAAAGAATAGAAGTTCCCCATACGGAAATCTCTTATTTTTTGTCCTTAATGTTGTTAATTAATAAAGGAATTTATCTTACGTTTCTTCAAGAACTTTCAAAAAATTTTCTTCTTCCTTGTAAAACTTTACAACCACCAGGGTGCCGGTTTACTTGGATGGGAAACAAGAGTTTAGCAATTCAGATTGTTCCACTTCTGATAAAACTTGATCCTCTAACCTTTCTAACGCTTTGGTTCAGCATCAATCTTCTGACCCTTTCAGCCTCACCCCAGTTACCATTCAAGACATACAAATCAGAAATGAGAGTATACACACCTCCATCATTCTCAGGTCTAACTGTCCTCATTACCCGGTCAATTACTCTCTCAGCCATCTCAAACTGTTTATGCAACTTACAAGATGCCAAAAATGATCCCCAAATAACAACATTTGGCTCAGATGGCATTGCCCTTATAATCTCATAAGCTTCACCCAACAACCCTGCTTTTCCAAATAAATCAACCATGCAACCGTAATGTTGCATTCTCGGCCTCAGCCCATACTCTTCAATCATTCTAAAGTATCCCCGACCCTCTTCCACCAATCCTGCCTGTGCACAAGCACTCAGTAACCCTGTAAAAGTCAACTCATTAGGCTTCACATCACATTCCCTCATCCTCTGAAATATCAAGAATACATCTGCTCCACAACCGTGCTGTGCAAAACCACATATTAAAGCTGTCCAAGCCACCACATTCCTATAGGTCATCATTTCAAAAACCAAACAGGCATCCTTCAAGAATCCACATTTTGCATACATATCAACTAAACATGTACCTAATTCCACATCCAGTTCCCACTTATTCTTAATCACAAATCCATGTATTGACTTGCCAAACACCAAACCAACCGAACCCATGTGACCACACCCTGGTAAAACTGAACCAATGACCACTTGATCAGGCCTCAGTCCTTCAGTCACCACCATTTCACGAAAAAGGGCCAAACCATCATCCCAAAGGCAATTGCCCATGTACCCAGAAATAACCGCTGACCATGATGAAGGATCCCTCGCCGGCATTTGATCAAACACTACACGTGCTTTGCCCAACTCCCCATAACGTGAATAGCCCGTGATCATCGTATTCCACGTGACAATATTTCTCTCAGGCATTTCATCAAACAGGTAACACGCATCTTCAAAACAGGCCACGACATACGCATTCAGCAGCGAGGTGGCTACATAAACATGGGAACTAAAGCCTATCTTAACAATGTGTGCGTGAAAATGGCGTACAAGAGGAAGATTACTCAATACTGTGCATGATTTAAGAGTAAAGAGTATAGAAAAGCTATCAAAGGGTACTCTTTTCTGTTGCATCTGGGTATAAATCTTCAATGCTTCATGAGACGACGAGGCCTTTCTTATGGCCGCAGCCCATGAATTTAAATTTCTGAAAACCCAAAAAAATTGAGCAGTGGGGATCGCTTGTGTGGGCTGCTTCGAGAGTAGGTTTGAGAGGCTTGCTAGCATAGCTTTGCTACCAATACACGTCCATCAAGAAGTGAAGCGCAGAAGATCAATTCATCGTGGAAATCAATACCACATTTAGCTCAGGCAGTAAAGAAATTTTTTGGAGGGGGTTTTGAATTCAAAAACCTGCAAGTTCGCAACGGAATAATTCGAAGCCATTTAATTTATAAGTACTAATTTTAATAATCAAATGTGCGATTTCTTGTGGATTAGTTTTGTGACTTGACTAGGGTTTTAAATTTTAAGTTTCTAGACCTTATCCTAGAATATAAAAGGCATTTTAAGTAACATTAAAATTTTACGTTTTTTTAAACATATTTTTTAAATTTATTTTTTATCTCACATACCTCAAATTGTTATAATATTTTTTTTTTCACAAAAACTCAAAAAAAAAAAAATGGCAATCCAATTCCAAATGGGCTCTTAGTTTTCTATCAGATAGCTAAATTATTGATTTAGTCGAAACTTTATAGAACATTAGTCTTGGGAAAGGATAGAAGAATGATGGAAGAAGGGCCAAACTCGAAAGGAAAATGAAAATTAATTCCTTGATATATCAATTATTCTTAAGTTGAAGATACTAGTGAATCACAAAGCAAATCCAGCGGTAAAAACAGACTACTACTATGAATTGACATAGGAATGTCAAGTTGTCAACCTGCCATCTGCAATGCTTGGTTTGGCTGCAGTTCGCAGAATCCAAACCCATAAACACCTTACTACAAAATCCAAACCCACCCTTGATCATTGCAATGTATCAAAGACAAAGTAGTAGACAATGTTACTATAACTTTTGTTCTATTCAAATGGAAAGGTTCTTCTGTCAGTTAATTCATGTATCTCCTTGAAATATTCCAACTTAAGATCAAGCATCCCAACTTTTGCATGCAAGGGGATAAGACCCTAGAAAAATAATGAAAATTATGTTCTTTTTTTCTTTTTTTTAATCAAGATGTTCTTGGCTAAACATGTATATAATCAGAATCACATAGGTAAGAGGGAAATGGAAATGATCCTCTTAGGTGAACTCTCCATCTATATATCTTTCACGTAGCTTTTCAGCTCCTATTATATATCGATCCATCTTATTTTGTTGTTTTTTTTTGCATAAACTCATCTCTTCTATCACTATTCCATCAGCAGTGGAACCCTCCATTTCTAGAATTAGAACCCTTAGCAATGGATACCGACACACCCAACAAAACAAGACCTAATCATTTATTCCACCAATCATGCATGCCTTCGAACTGGAAATGGGCAGAACCTTCTTTGGCTGCTTTCCTTTGCCATTTTGCTCTACCAAAGAAGTCCTCCTGCCTTCCAAGTATCCAACTCTACTTTTCTTAACCATTTCTTCTCGGACTTTGTTCCACAGCCCTCGATTCTCCTCTCAACACATCGTTAAGACTTAACTAGTCCAGAAGCAAAATGCCAAAGGTTTCAGTACTAACCTCAATAACATCTCCTTGAAATATCAGTCTGATATTCTAGCTCTTGCATGCTCTGATGGGAAGGCCAAATAGGCAAAATCGTGATACAGCCATTGTTGGTCCATCCATTGTTTTGCTACAAGAAAGGTTCAAGAAGCTGGGAAGGATAAAGGAGAAGAGAGAACAGATGAAACAAACACTCAAGATGGTGTTCTCTGAGCCCCAAAGAATCCTGCAATCCAACTGTAGAAGCTACAATTCCTTCACAGATCATGAATTAAATTTGTATCTTCCATCAAGACCAGCTTTTGATGAAGATCCACTCTCCTTGGGATTTACCTTGAGCAACAAGCATGCAGAATATGGTGCTCTCAAGAAGGCTCAACCTTCTTTTAGTGCTTTATGGTCTTATGATGAAAGGGTTGTGAATACACCTCAAATGTATGACAAAAATTCTGATGTTGATACTTCACTTCATCTCTAAAATCTTCTCTCTTTTTTTTTCATATTTTAATTTTGGGTCTTTTCTCTTCTTCATCGGGCTTAAAATTTGCCAATGTGAGGAAAAGAAATTTATTTCATCATTTATCATGGAAAAATGATATGTGTCACCAAACTTTTCTGTTATCACATAATCATCACTTGCTACATGCATGGAGTATTAAATACTAATGTGGGCTCTAGTTTTCTTTCTCATTTTTTATCTTGTTCAAGTAAAAATAGTTTTCTTACATTTCATTTTTTTTAGTTATTGTTTCCACACTTCAATTTACATACTAATCGCATCAATTTAAGCTAACATTCAAAAATATTCAATTAAGAAAGACTTCTGTGATCATATAGGAAGTACTGCTCTCTAAGCAGTTCAGGATTTATTATCAAGAAGAGAAGTTAAGGATCTATTTATTAAGAAGCTAGAACAATTGAAAAGCGATTTGCTTACTACTTAATTCATAACAAATAATGAAACTGAATTTTCCCTCGATTAAAGATCAAATTGCATAAAGAATCAATCAAGAGAGATTGTGTTAGACATGCAAAAGATAATTGGAATGAATCATGGTAGGGATCTGAGCAAACCTGAATAAGAAAACCCATACTAGAGAGATAAATCGTCCTACATTAAAATTCCCAATAACAAAATACCAATTAGTCAAATTTTCAAAAAAGAAAAAAAAATTAATATGTATTGGCATTTCCTACACATGCATCAACAAATAAGTGATGCAATCATGACCAAATTGTTTGGAAAATATGAGCAGATAAGTGATGACCAAAGTGTTATGAAAATGTGAGGATGATAGGGGATGATATAAGTAGTTGTTGTGAATCTGAGAATTACAGAGCACTTTGAACCACCAATCCTTTTAAATCTATCATTATCCTGCATTTTTATCCCTATCTTTTAGTTATTTTCACCCATGATTTGTAGATAGAACATCTAAGCGATATAAGTAACGTTGTCTCTTTTTCATACATGACAAAACCAAGGACTTTTTTTTTTTTTGCCAACTACTCTAGAGGTAGTTGACAAAACCAAGGACTTGTTGTCAACTAAAAGCTAATTTTTTGTAATTGATTCTTCAAAATCAATTTTTTTTTAATAACTCATATATTGTTTAAAAAAGTTATTTTAATGAATGTACGAGTGCTCTTAAAAAAATTTAAACTTAATTTTGACAAAAAAGGATAATTAATTTGTCTTTATCTGCTTATTAAATATTTTTTATTTATTAAATAATTTTTCCATGAAGATTAAATGTTGGATGAGAAATAGAAAAAGTGGAATAGAGGCGAATTTGGGATAGAGAGAGACTTGCAGTTAAAAAAGTTATCTAACCTTTACATTTTTTTTTATCAAATGACAATAACTAGTATAATGTACTCCTACTCCTATTCTAGTCTACACTAGGGGGAGGCCTGACGGGATCTAGAAAAATCGAAGAGGATTGAACCACCGTCGGACCAGAGTTTAGTAATTACGTTAAGTTATGAAGGATATTTTTATCTTCACAAAAAATAGGTTAGATCATAATCCAAAAGCAATTCAAAACGTGCTCCTCACTTTCAGCCTTGTTAGGCCCAAAAAATATATAATTAAAATTTTAAAATCAATTGAAAACACAATAAAATAACTTTTTGAAAATCAAAAACTAAAATCATGTTTCTAAAATCAGTTGAGAACAATTATCCAAAAAAAAAAAAAAAATCAGTTGAGAACAAGCCCAAGTATAGTCAACCAGTCTCCGTTTGTAAAAGTTTAATCGGGTAATAGTCTAACATGTTTGGATTTGGAGTCTATCTTGACCACTGCCGTTATTTTCTATTTTTCTACTTCGAATGGGCTGACTTAAAACCTACCCAACAAATAAAACTTTGTCAGGCCTTTCTCTAAACCTTCCAAGCCAACCCCTCCCTAACGATTTATTGGGCCGGCATGGGTTAATAGTTCAAATCCGGACCATTTAAAACCCCAAATGTTACATTCTAAAGCCCGATGCAATAAAAGTAGATCAGTGCAAGTGGATTGGACTTTAATCCATGTCAGTCACTAACGTGGGCTGTGACGCGATCCGGTACTTCAAAGAAATATGTCCAGATGTTTTAGTAGGTTATTAATTTGACTATGGGTTAATTATCAATGATCCTAATTTCCTTTTTGCAAATTGAATTTGCAGATTTGTAAACAGCGTAGATGATTTGTTTGTTATATAATAGTAATTGTCACATTTATGAGATATACATTAGATTTCAATATGAGCTTTTCATTACTCTTAAAAATAATTATAGAGCAAAATATTAAATACCTTTTACTATATTCTATTTAGGTAGAAACTTTTGCTAAATAACATCAAATGATTAAAACAAAATAAATCCATTATATGCACATATACAAATTACATGTTTGAACTCCTTAACTTATGTTACTCTAGTGAAAAATTCATTCTGCTTTCTCTTTCATAATATAAGAAAGGCCAATAAATTTGACACTGCATTAAAATTTTCGACATTTTATACAATTAAAATAACTAAAACACTCGCATTCCCAATTCTAGTACCAATATTTTTCTTAAACTTGTTATTGCTATGATTTACATCAAAAACCCTTTTTTTTCATTTTTTTTCCTACCGTATATTTCTCCTCTCCTTGTTTATTAGATGCTTTGTGAGAGATTTCAGCCAAATTGAGTGTGTTTGTCAACTTAATTAAGACAAACTCATTGTTGGGTGCCTAAAACTAGTTAATGGTTACTTACATCCCTTGTGAGCACAGCTAGCAAAAATAAACTTTTATCCCTCACAAATTGATTTTTTTTTTGGTTTTTTTCCTTTTAAAGTGATATATATATATATATGTATATATACTTATCTTCATTGTGACATCCCATGCATTTTGCATGTATATAATTTTTTACAAACTGAAGCATGTCTCACTCACTAACCAAGATGCATGAAATACTAAAGAACACTTATAATATGTAACAGCCACGTCAAAATGTCCAAATTGTTGTTCCTTAAGCATTAATTATAGATAACTTGAAGTAATTGAATTTCTTTTCTATCTTTCTGTTTTTGGTTTTAAGTTGTTGTAATGATTCCGCAGGAAATAAGACCAAATAGTTAACCAAATTCTGTTAGCCAAATACTACCTTGCGGAAATTGTTATAACAGCTACCACTTGCAGAAGTTGGTTATTGATTAGTTAGTGAGGAAGCTTTCTATTAATAGGCCAATGCTAATGTAAAGCGTTAAGCAATATTTGATCATTGAGAATACAACTTT